AGGCTCTGGCCTCCCCTTTGCACTCCAGCTTGTAGCCGTAGGTGCTGGGGCTGAGGTTCTCCTCCTCCTCCTCGCAGATGCTGCGGTCGGACGAGGTGGGAGTGCCGAGGTTTTCCGGGTCTTCGATCCAGTATCCCCCGAACTGGGGCAGGATGATCAGCGGGTACGGGCTGCCCTTCTCTAGGATCTGGGGGGGGACACGTGCCTGTGAGGGGTCGGGCAGGACTGGGGTGTGGATGTGGGGTGCGGGGGCTTGTCACCCTGTCCCCTGTCCCCCGGTTGCCCCCTCCTGCCGCAGCCCCCAGGCCCGGCACCGCAGGGGACAAATCCAGCCCCCCTCTGAAACCTCTCTCTCCTAGAAGAGGGCACGTGTGACCAAAAGCGGCAACAGCAAAGGTGGGGAGGAGGAAATGTGCTTTGTGTGGCTCCTCTCAGAAACAGGATCTCCACCAATTCCCGTTATCAGCAGTTTGGGGAAGGAGTGCGCCAGAAGGCGTTCAGCGTGGCTCAGGGCACCCACCTCGTCGATGCTGGGGTACGGGATGTAGTCTTCCTGGAAAAAAGGAATCAAAACACCGCGTATGACCATCTGTTCCCCACCAGCTGTCCCTTACAACCACAGCCTCGCACATCCAACCCGGGGAGCGCTCCCAGCCGCCCGCTGCGCTGGTCCCTCCCATCCTCACGCCCCGCACCGAGCGCCCGGCGCTGACGGGGAGCGACGCTCGTGTCGGGTGAGGCCGCCGTGCGCGGCGATGGGTGCGAGCCCCGGGGACACGGCCCGGGGACCCCTCCCCACTCGGGGTCCGCAGGAAAGCACTGCAGCAGGATAAGACCTTTGCCAAAGGGGTCTCCGGTACGGGTGTAAGCTTCTCGGCTCTGCGGCAGAACCCGACCGTTCTACACAGCTCCCCGCTGAAATACACACGTTCGGACATAAAGCTGGATTAGGGATTTACAGGCACCACTCTCCCATCTTTGCAATTCAATCAGCGCCTTCTCTTTAGATAACATTTAAATCCTTTTTAGTCCTTTGAGTGACTGTCTTTGCCTATACGCATTAAAGCCCTGAGATAAGGGGGGGGACGCTTGAAGAAATCCACACAAGAAAAAAAAAAAATCCACCAACCTTATGTTTTTGGCTTCCAGTCCTCTGTTCTTCAAGTTTTGGTGCCTGTTTGGAACAAAAAAGAATAAATCGAATAATTAAGGTGTTTTCAACAACACAGACAAAACCACAGGGGCATTCTGCTACACGGAAATCGCGCAGACACGAGTAGCATGAAAGGAGGGGGGTTCTGCCCGGGATAAGCGGGGCAGAGCTGCTGGCGTGCCAGGACAGACCCCATGCCATGGTTTGGGCTGGGCGAAACATAGCTATTTTGCGGCTAACACAGCGAAAACAGGTGACGGGGATGTCGCAGGACAGGACCAGGGACACAGCGACACCGCACTGAAAATGCCTGGATGGGAGGCAGGGACTATCATTTCCCAGGGGCTGGCATAGCACCGAACACAAAACGCCCCATATCTCACGCCGGCGTCACCTTAATTTCTCCAGGACGGACCCCGAAGGGAGACCCCTGCCCTGCCCTCCTGCGCAGCGGGGACGGCGGCCCCGGCACGTGGCGCGGTGACGGCATGTGGTGTGGTGATGGCCCCGGCTGCCTCGCAGCGCCCGGCCCAGGCAGGAGCTCAGGGACGGCAAACCCTGCGCGCACTCGCCCGTGCCGCGGGGATAAGGGACGTGCCAGGGGACACCCCGGTCCCCCGACACTCCTCCTCAGGCACATCCTGATGTGTTTTAGTGTGGGACAAGAGAATACCTCTCCTTCCCCAAGGGGTACTGAGACAGTGCTGGACGCGTCCGTGCAAAGAGGGGCAGCAGTGCACTGCGCTGCCTTTACCAGGGAGCAACGGGACGGCGTCTCAGAGCGTCTGTCCCTAAACCTTTTGCAAAACTGCTCGGGGCGATGCGGAATAACCTCGGAGGAAGATGCTGCCGAAACCACTGCTCTCCCCCGGCGCGCTGGGGCGTTTTGCACGGGGAAGCGCCCGCCGTGCCCCCTCTCAGCAGCGCCCACAGCGCTGGGGACTTCGGCAGCAATTCAAAACCTGTTACGGTCATACAGGGCCTCCCGGCACATTGAATGTAGGAGGTGCTGCGGGATCTCTGCCGGGGGATGGGGGGAGAACGTCCCGTGTCACTGGCATGCACGCTGCTGCTCACCTGCATTTTTTCCAGCATTTCGAAGAATTCCGCAGACTGAAAAAGAAAAGAAGGAAATCTCCTGTTCGATTAAAGGAGACACGAGGCGAGCCAGCCCAAGGCACTCCAAGGCAGGGACGCCGCACCCCCAGCCGGTGCTGGGCACTCTGGCTCTGCCCCTCACCAGGAATGGGAGGAAGAGACTCTGTCCATAACTGCGCCGCAGGGCCGCGGCAGGAGGGGGTCTGCACACACCAACAGCAGCAGCAACAGCAAAAACAGCAGCAACAAACCTTCTCTTGGAAACCAAACAGGCCCAGACTGGTCAATCCAAAACCCCCAATAAATACTCTGGCAAGTGAGACCCCCACACACCCCCCCCCCCCCACCCGTACCCTGCACGGCGCAAGCTCCGGGCTCTGCGTCTCACCGGCCGTGGGAACG